CTTCCTCTCTTTTTTTATTGTGACATAGATCAGGCATGGATTGTGATAAACCACAACATAGCTCGTTGACGGATGTCCTCTGTCAGCCTCTGTTCTTGGCTCTATCTAGTACCAGTACTTCTAAGCATGGACTAATTTAGGGAATGTAGAATTAAGTACAATAGAAGCAAATTAATTGCACAGCGGATGTTTGCACACCCCACTCCTGTCCACCAAGTCTCAAAATCCCAAACCGTTCTCCATTCGTTCCATTGTTAGTGAGATCAAGGACATTATGTATAATGTCCTTCGTGAGATCGGCTTTCTGCACCGTGCACTAAGCCAATTGTCGGCTAAATGCACCAAAATTATTAAAAACATCGTCCAAACATGTACTACATGATTTCTTGTCCTGTCAACATAGATCGGAGTTATACTGCACAACGGCTCACCGAGATCAGGTATTCCCTTGGGCACGTACAAAGCCACCGACGCCGGTCTACCTGCCGCCATCAACCTGCTGGAGCGGAAAGCTACAGGAGGCCCGAGCCGGATCGGGCAGGCTATCAACTTAATGACAGCTACGGTAAGACAGACAGCTCTAGTATATACGTTGTAGAGTGGGCCATATGTTTCAACGTGGATGGAAGTCGCGATCGTAGATAAAGGTGGCGTTTGGTGGGAAGATGGGATCTAGGAATCTCCAAGCACATCTTTCCGTGGCAAAATCGTAATCGACCGACAAGATACTAGCAAATTGGGCAGACAGTTTCCAGATGACCACCGTAGCTATCCACATGAACATATAGGAGGTAAAACGCTTTAGGGTGATAACTTTTTATTGGATGATTCATGCCCCATTTTCAATCATGTCTAGGTTTGTCTGTCTAGTTGTTTATTTATTTGTTTCTTAAGTCCGACTTCCGTGATGGAGTACCCAAGGTAGCGGTAATCCTGACTGACGGAATGTCTCAAAGTGACGCTGCCGGACAGGTGTGAAACCATTTTAAATTATAACTGAAATATTTGCACGTAATGTCATTTTGAAATCGCAATACTAGTATTCTTGTACATCTTGTTGTCTAAGATGGCAATACATAAATGTACCACTTCAGTCAAAAACTCCGTGAGGCTTTTTGTTGATTACACTGATGAGTTTTTCGTCAAATAGTAAATTGTTGAAAAACCGATTAGGCATGGATGATTTCCGAAGTGGCAACCACCATTAAAACACTTTATGGGGAAACGTTTGTCATTATCTTGTGGATGACTATGAAGCGCAGGCTATCGCAGCAAGGAACGCGGGAATTGACCTGTACGTTGTGGTTATTGGAGGACCGGAGAGTGTGGACACTGATGTACTACAGACCATCACCGGCAGCGCCGACCGCGTATTCGTGGGCGACAATCCCTGCAGAGTCGCCTACAGTATACTAGCGAACCTCTGCGCGGCAGCAGGTTAGATTGTAGTGAATATCAGAAGCATGTCTTAATTGTGTGGTGGTAGTGTAACATACCTCACCGTGCATACCTGGCAAAATAGGCACAAGCTTGATGTACAAGGCAGATGCTCACTCGTCTGTCCCCCTAGTGCCAGACAAACAGAACAGAGTCCATGGACAAAAAAACTGCTAATAAAATCACAGCTTGCTACAGGCTTCCTAAAATACCGTAATACAAAATGTAACGTTAGTGTAACTGTTAGTTCAACTATGTGAAGTACTAGTTCATTTTCCCTAAAATGTAATGCAAGTTTTGTCATTCACCTGTTTGGCAGCTCCTGCCGGCTGTCTGTACAATGGAGCCATCATTCCCGTCGGGGAGGAGTACAAGGTAAGGCTGATAAGAGAAAATTTAATCTCCAAGCAGATCATACGGTGGCAAGGCAGTATCCATTGGCCAGAGGAGTGTCCATTAGCTTCGGTGGCTAATGGACACTCCTCTGGCCAATGGATACTGCCTTGCCACCGTATGATCTGCTTGGAGATTAGAGAAAATTGACATTGCGCCCATGGGGAGTAAATTATTATTTTTGGCCTGCAGTCTGGTTGTCTTCCTGAGGGTTAGCGATCCTTGGGTAAAGATAACTGCACTGTGGCAAGTTTTACATCCACGACATTAAGGCAGGAATATGACATAAGGTCTTTCATTAGTTCCCCCCTCCCCCACCCTACAGCCGGATGACTGCACCACGTGCACATGTGAGGACGCCGGAGAGGAGCCGGCCTGCGTCCTCTACGCCTGCGCCCCTCCGCCCTGTGACAACCCCGTCAAGGTGGCCGGGCAATGCTGTCCTGTCTGTGATGGTTAGTCTGCTTTATGTATCCAGAACATTTCACTAGAGTCTATAACATAGTGGAGGTTTGACCAGGAACAGACTGAGCAATTTACTTACATCATTTCAGCTCCAGAAGGCTGTTGGTACAACAGGAGCTCGAGTGCCGTCCTCATTCCTTTCGGGATCGAGTACAAGGTAAGAGCTAGCTGACAACTGTCTGTCAGAACTGCTCTAAGAGAGGATTACAAATCCTAGTATACAGAGAACAAAAGTTTAAGCTGCTGATGTCAACTTTTGTCCGTTAAAAGGACATATAAACACATTTTTTGGTTGCCTAACCCAAAATCCTGTTTGCAAAAGGTGATTCATTGGTTTCTACCAGTCACACACACATTGGGATGATATTAGACCTAATTCGATGCTCACGTTTGATGCCTGCCTAGGGGGCGGAAATACAACTTTAGTCGTTAGACTGAAACACCACTCCTATTAGTTTATTAACCATTTCGCAGTGATAATCCTTTACTCGACTTTTCGTTCATTAAAAGTAGTAACTACGTCATCGTTTAGCTGTGACAAGGATCCGTATCCAGCACATTGAGACAGGTGTAATGAATAAATTACCAATCATTACTATTATCATTTCCATCCTACAGGAGGGCGCCTGCGAGTCGTGCCACTGCTACGCCGACGAAGAGAGGGCGATTTGCCTGGCTTACGCTTGCAGGTTCGACTTCTGCACCAACCTAGTACGGCTCGCGGGGCAGTGCTGTCCGGACTGCCCTGCCTGCTGCCAGGGCTGCTATCACGGAGATGACTTCATCCCTGTGGGAGCCACTTTCCAGGTTAGTTTATGGACGCGTGATTTGAGTAGTGGGTCAATTGTGCCGGATAATCTGTGCCTTCCTTATTTGACTGTTCAGAGAAGCCTCTAGCAGGTTTCGGAAGCGGCTAGAAAGAGTAGAAATTGGCCAAATAGACAGCTAACATACCAGGGGAGTTCGTCCTAAGCCGGACTCCTTAGCACCTTCCGAAGCCTGGGAGAGGTTACATAGCTTGACAGACTGGAACTGCACGGTAAAAATTGTTCTAACCTACAAATTGCTGTATCCTGTTCCATTCTTTGCTGCCTCCGCTCTACAGCCGGACCCCTGTACGTTCTGCCACTGCTACAGCCCTTGGGAACCAGCGATTTGCGCAGTTGTAGACTGTGCCTTTCCTCCCTGTGTTAACCTCATAACGCCCCCGGGAGAGTGCTGCCCTGTCTGCACTGACATCGGCTGTGAGCACCCTGACGGCATCATCTTGCCGGGCGAACCTTACGAGGTGAGAGGTAGTACTGACATCTGTCAGTCAAAGCTGGGACTGTACAACTTCCCTTCTGCGTAACACACCTGAATGTCAGACACGTGGCGTCTGATTATATCACACCGGTACACCGACGAATTCAGTTTAGGACAAGCAGCTCCAAACTTCAGAAACAACTGACACTAGTTTGTTACCGGCAGATGCAGTTCAATTCTCTAACTTTTCCTGGTTAGTTCTGTCGAAATCTTGACTATGATGCCTACCCCACTCTTGTGTGCAGTAGTACCACGCGGCCTTAGATTGTGTACTAATTACTGTACTTCACTCCCTCGGTTACCCACAGGTGGATGGCTGCATGACGTGTTACTGCGGAGCCGCGGGACAAGAACCGTTGTGCGCCACCGCAGCCTGCCTTCTTCCGCCCTGCGACACACCGGTACAGATCGCAGGACAGTGCTGCCCTGTCTGCGAAGGTTAGCATTGCAGCAACGTGTCACACCCAGGAGTGGTTTTTATTAACAATTTATGATATCTCAAGAAAGTCTCACTATACAGATTAGATATTTGACAAGTGGACTCTAGACGTCCTCAGTGGAAATGTAGTCGTTTTCAATTAATAAATGAACTTGTGGTTATTGAGATAAATCAAGAAGGCATGAAGACACTGTGGCAATTTCTTGACTTGGGACGTAGGTTTTGGGTACTGTGGGGGCTATGTTTCACATTGTAGCTGCTTCTTTGGTCATTCAAATGTTATTGGAAAGTAGCTCAGGTAAGATTTTTCACTTTGTCCTATAATTTTATACGACATCGTACTACACCGTACGACGCATGGCATAATTAAGTTTGACTGGAATATTAGACCGTTACATGAAACAATGTTGGTGATCATTTCAGCTCCAGAGGGTTGTCCATACAACGGTATGATCATCCCCCTGAATGACAGTTTCAAGGTGAGATATTAGGCCGTGTCTAAACGGAATCACCCAAGGCGGTTTACATGTGGTTTACCCCGAAGCCGGTTTCAAGTGGCTCCATGTGAACGCTCCGAAATCACATTGAAAGCGCCTCGATCCCAAGCCACTTCTAGAGGTGGTTTCGAATCGGTTTCCCCGCATCGCGATTTGCGTCTAAACGCAATGTGATTTCAATGTGACTTCGCCTGGTCATGGATTACGGAGTGATATTTCTTTTTTTATATGCAATACCAACATTTACGTGGCAGCAACTTAAAGAGCAGTAATAAATGTAGCTCAAGCGCATTATGTTCGGACACGGTTTCACAGGTGTGTGTGGCACGTGGACCAGATGTGAGGAATGTGAGTTACCCGAATCGCGGTTTGGGTGATTCCGTATAGACACGGCCTAACTGACACTTGTCTATTGAAAACAGCTGTCCCAGGTGGCTTGAAATCCTCAGAGATGACATAAGTTTGTTGATATTCTACATCCATTCAGTACTAATAATAATACTAATGTCATAGTATAATGTAGTAGATATGTCATTATTACCCTGTCATATTTTGCTGTCAGAGTGACCTGTGTTAAGCACATTAAGATGTAAGATCACAGACATTCCATGCATTACTTCTTTCATCCTACAGCCGGACGACTGCACTACGTGCACCTGCTCCGTAGCCGGTGAGGCACCTTTGTGCATAGCTGTGTCTTGCGCACTTCCACCCTGCCCCGACCCGGTAAAGATCGCGGGACAGTGCTGCCTTACCTGCCCTTAGAGGACTGTGGGGTTATGGGCCCATCTAGAGGGAGGTACGAGATTTTGTATCTCGCTTTTCTGAACATATAGCAACTTCTATTTATGATTTCATCTGCAAAAAATACTTTGATTATTCATTTGTACTGTATTGTTCATAAACATGTTTGTCATGGTTTTGACTTGATTTTAATTCTCTTATCTCTTGATAGGTAAACCACCCAGAGTGGAGACAACTTGCTGCCCTATGTACGTGCCACAATGCACGGGAGGACTAAGTCCATATATCAAACTTAGTAATAGGTAAATTAGCGATTGCTGGAAGCAAGGCAGCCTTACGGGAATGAGAGGAGCGGATCGTCTTCCGTGTGTCCCCAAATAAAGTTTAGTCTCCATGAACAGTTGTCCACCTTGTCGTTTCTGTTTTACGCTGTATTTTTTGTCACTACAAACTTAGTATTTCAGTAGCCTCCTTCGCAGACTCCTTGGGGCGACGGCGTTATTTTTTTTTCTTGGGGAGGGGACGCTCATGCGCAATTTTCCTCTAATGCGACAGAGGGAGTTGTGCCACTAGCGCGGACGATACAGCTCTGGATCTCTCCGCGGCCCGATGATACAGCGCCCCCCCTCCCCCCCAAAAAAAGAAACCACCGCTCTTGCCGCTGGTAGAAACAAACGCTTCCCCACCAGAAGTCTGCTCAGGAGGCTAGTATTTCAGATGCTTTGAAGGACGCCCAGTATTAGTTATTCATGGATTATGTATACATACGTGCGGCAAATGAATAGGGATTAGGGATCTTAGGAGGTAAGATTGCTAGTAGTACGGGCAATTCGCTGGGCAGTTGCGCGGTTACGTCTCGTAGAACATGTAAAACGTATATTGTAAAGTATAACGTTATATGTCATCTCTTCCTCAAATCAGAGTACACAAAATTGCTAAAATGGATAATATCATATATTGCGGCTTTGTTTACGTTTTGGTCTGCAATGTTTCTGTAAGCTTCAGTACAGACGTATTTAACGACTATAAATATATCCATGATATTTACAGAAGACTGTTAAGAAAATACATCAACAAGGATGTAGCTATAAGATGACACCACAGAGATCTGTTAAAAAGATGTGTATAAAATTACAGCTAGTGTTATGATGTAACAAGAAATATTCATATATTCCTTGTCTGTTTAAAAAAAAACAGTCTGTAAGGCTGGAGAAACAAATGTTCACCAAAAATATATTTCCTTGGCTCAATATTAAAAACATAGTTGCTGACAAAACATGATTACGGGCCTCGCAACCGCACATCACTGTTTACTGCCAACTCGATAGCTGCGTGACGAGACGGTGCGGAACGCCCTGCCAACCCCTATAGCAGGATCTAGCGACGGTGTGTGTGACAGTGTGTGTGTATCGCGGTAGATGTTGTTTGTTTTTCTTTTGCAGATTAGATACTGTTTCAACGCAATATGTCTGAAGATTGACAATGGGAGTACTTAGAACATGCTTTTAGCAACCAGAAGACAATACGTTACTCAGGAACTTGACCAGCAATATAAAAAAATTCATAGCCAGAGCCTACTCATGGAGCCTCTACAGACTGGACACGTCTTCTCATAATAGTCTGATTGTAATAACTGATAAGGAAAGAAACGGTTGACGTGCGCCAATAGGAAGAGTCCGAAATTTTTGCTCATGACGGTTTGTGCCGGACACCCCCGCATAGTTCGTCGACGGTTGTCCCTTGTGTCGCACGGACCGTGTTCTGGTGAGAAGGTGAACCGAACGGACCCGGACTGTTCACGGCACTACTGACAAACTGACCCAGGTTAAACTTGGTATCAAAGTTATCTATCTACCGGCATTTCCCGAGATTTAACAGACGGTAAGAAGTGTTTTCTAACCAAATGATCCGTGATTTCTGTTGTTCAATTTCTGGATGGCATGTTCTGATTTTGCGACATTATCACGTGTACATTTGCCGAAAGAACGTTGCGGTAACGACGGTGCGCAAGACGTTCAGTTTGTTCATACTTCGGGGGTTTCAAGTTTTCCCTGTCAATGTTGTACAGAAGGGTGACTGAGGACAGCCATTGTCTAAAATCTAGCTTGTATCTCCCAGAACCATTAACGTTTCGCTTACATGTATAGCTAACCACATTACCACAGTATATATTATCATACATGTAATGATGAGGCAAAATAGACATAAAGGAATCCTTGTGAGTTTTCGGTTGCCTTACCTCATTGGTAAGCTAAGAAAATGTAGTTATGAAATGTCACATAAACGTTGTAGGCGAGTAAGATTTGCTGACAAATCTGTCTGTCGTTACAAAGAAATTCAACACATCAAACATGCTGTGGAAACTGTTGCTGCCCACTTTAGTGATGTCCGTCGCCATCCACGAGACAATCGGCACTGGGCGGGTCGTCCGGCAGGCCGGCGGAGGTGGGTACATTTTATTCCCGAGATTCCGCTTATATTTATTTGCTAATACTGAGCCGGAATTCACTTGCTTCTTTTCACAATTGGTGCATTAATTCTGGATACACCCAGCAGCAGATTTTAGAGCTAAATTTAATGGGGAACGTAACTTAACAAGCAAAAGTTCTGTTTCTCCGGACACTATAGTATTAATTCTCGATCCCCCCAAAATTTATTGTATTGCCAATTTTACACTGAGTTTAACTAAGATAACTGTTGCATTTT